CTTTAACCAAGCTCTGCCAGAAATAATATATAACATAAGCTCACTTATGATGGGTAAACATTAGTCTTTTAATGTGCCAGGTATTCTCAAAGCATTTTCCCAGGCACGTCACCTCTACCCAAATCCACCTTACTTTTCTCCGGTGCTGTATGTTTCCCAGGATGAAAGGCAAACCGACTATTTTCTGTACAATGTACAAAACTGTTCACTTATGAGCACTGCCAAAGGTTATAAAAGAAAATCTTCATTAAGTAGAAAACCAAACAGACTGTTCAGTTCTTTTCTCTGTATCTGCATTTTAATGGTTAATTGTGTTAAGAGCTGATTTCTAAATAGTAGGATTATTGCTGTCTTGTGATGAACAAGGATGGTGCGAGGCACAGTGGATGGGAGAGAATACTGTCAGTAGGGCTTAGTATACTCTGTAGAGCTTGGGAACATGAGTAATAATTGAGTAATGCTTCCTTAGTAACGCTTTCTTAGACAACAGTAAAAAGCATATCCCAACACCTAGAATCACTGAAGTTTTGCAGCATGTTTCACACACCCACTTCTACTGAAGGATATGTAAGTAATACTTCTGCTAAGTTCCAAAAATAAATAGCTTTAATTCTGAGTTTACAGCAAAAGATTTTACAAAGAGTACCACAGCACACTTCATACTGATATCAAGAGCAAATATTTAAATCCCATCGAATTCCAGAAAATACTGAAGCATTTCTTTCATTTGAGTAACTTAAATGAACATATAAAAGGCATGTAGAAAGCATAACAGAGGAGATTCTTATATGGTTTCCTGAGAAAGGAAACTACCTTCAACTCAAAAATAAAAACTAAATTCCAGAACAGGTATAATTACAGCTGGAAAATGACAGTTTAACCTCAAAGCGAAGCCATTTCCAATCTGTAAACAGAAAATTTATCCTATCCAATTGCAAAGCACTAAAGACAATAAGCAATACAAAGCTTAAAAAGGCAAAATGATCACAAGAACCATTTGTCTCACGCAGAAAGCAGCAATTTTTAAACTAGATAAAAAACAACAGGGTGAGGTTTTATTAGAACAAGTATGTTGAACACTAACTCCTAGCAACAAAATCATAGAGCAGCATCCTGTAACACTTTTATTTTTGCCAGGATCAGTTGGGATTTTCATGCAGCTTTGTACTGCTACCCTTACTTTCACTTAGTAAACTGAAACACAGAAAATGAGGTGAAAAGCCAAACCACTCAGGACAGCCAGGACTAGTGACCTCTGGTTTAGTTTAGTAACCAAACCCTTAATTATGCTGCCTTTCAACATCTCCTACAAAGCAGTAACAAAGGGCTTTAAGAGGCGTCTGATTTTCTGTCTCTCTGAACAAAGTTCATTAACAATAGCTTTTATTCTTACAAGTATGAACATCTGATAATAGGCTTAAAGTACAAAGTATCGCACAAAACTACTATATTTTTATTGCATGTTGGTAACCAGTGGTAACATTCCTTCTTTACATATTACTTTTTCTTCTTGTGTTTTCATTTCTTCATTATGACAATGTACCATATTTCTAGAAAGCACTGATTCTCATAGTAAAAACAGTACCATAAAATAAACCTAATAAAAAGTCTCTGGCAGCTGAATGAAAACTGAGGTTTAAGACCTACACAGGAATTATTATGGAACAATTTTATTCCTAAAACCAATAACCCTAAGAATACTTTTTTCATTCCAAAATCTTGTAATTAGATTATGTTCAGTTGATGACTGATTGATAGGGAAACTGAAACCCATGAAAACATTAATCTCATGAACTAAAAAAAAGGAAGAGAAAACTATATGCATTAATCTTATGAAGAGATTCTAAATTACACATTTTATTATACTATGGAGATTTATTTTCCCATTATCTCATACACCCACATAAGATAAAGCTAGTGTAAATCTGTCTTTCTCCATGCAGGGAATTTCTTAATGCTGTATTAGAGATGATTATTCTATCCTCACATTTCATAACAACCAGAAGCACTCTCGTTTAATATTAAGACAGATGTTTCGACTGAGAATGACTATGGATATGTGCCGAAATTAAAAATGAAAAACCTATGTGAATAAATATTGAAATGTACATTAATCATAGAATCATAGAATAGTTAGGGTTGGAAAGGACCTTAAGATCATCCAGTTCCAATCCCCCTGCCATGGGCAGGGATGCCTCACACTAGACTATGTTGCCCAAGACTCTCTTCAGCCTGGACTTGCACACTGCCAGAGATGGAGCATTTACCACTTCTCTGGGCAACCTGTTTCAATGCCTCACCACCCTCACAGTAAAGACCTTCTTCCTCATATCTAACCTGAACTTCCACTGTTTTAAGTTAGAACCCGTTCCCCCTTGTCCTATCACTACAGTCCCTGATGAAGAGTCCCTCTTCAGCATCTTTGTAGGCCCGCTACAGAAAATATATGGACCCTGTCAGAGATCAATATGATCAGACAAAAGCCATTTATTACAAAGCCTTAACTCCTTATATACTATTTCTTACTTGCATTTAACAGTAATTTGGATTATTATGATTGAATACATGTCTTGAAGAGCCTTAGTGACTAACATATAATTGGTTAAGCACAGGTGTGAGAACTTGACCTTGAAAGCTTGCCAACAGCCCACAGTTCTCCTAACTCAGTGAATTCCAGTTTCTTCTTATCTTGCTTGCTTAAGCTTCCTCAGGCCTCTCATGGCCTTGCTGTATCTTTCAGGATTATTCAGAGTTTATGTACCAATTATCCATTCTCCTGTGAGAAGACTGTCTCCACATAGGCCCCCTTCAGACAGTGGAAGGCTGATATGAGGTCACCACACAGCTTCTCTTCTCCAGGCTGAACAGGCTTATTCTAAGGGTGATCTTCCACCACCAAGTAAGATGCTTGGCCAAGATTCCCTCTAAACCTTTACAGCAGCTGAAGACATTTCATTTTCATGAAACTTTTACAAATTACAAAACAATGCTTTCTTCTTCTGTTAAGAGTACGTAGGGCAGGACCATCACATCTGCGCCAATTTACACTCACATAAACAACAGAAGAACAGGCTGATTGCATCTAAATTTAGGCACAGTTTTTAACAATGCAAATGGTACAAGCAGAAATTTTTGTAAATATGTCAAATTTGTGTTTCATACATTTTCCTATCATCCCACAATATGACATACATCATCAATTCAGCTGTAACAGGTTTCTGACTGAAAAGCTATCTGCCATCCATTCATGTGGTAACTACTTGCTCAAAGTATTCACAAAATTTCAGCTGTTCATGATCTTCCCTGGAAAAGAAGTGGTGCCTCGGGCAGGTACAATCAAGACTTTGGGGTGATTATAGTTTAAATTCATATTGCAACTTAGAAATCTAATGGGTAAACCAGTTTAACCATTAGGAGATAATATGAAGAGCTCCTAAATTATTGCTATTGGAAATAGTTGTAGGAATATCACAGTAAAATGCCAATATTCATAATTTCAAACATCCTAGATATCTTTCAATAGCACTAATAGGACATTCTTTGTTTTGTAACACTTGTTAAATTTGCAAATTGCATAGTAACTGAACTGCTAATGGAAAGGTACCACAACATGGTTATACGTGTCATTTCGTAAATGCACATTACAGGTGCTTATATGAACCAACATTTTCATGCAAGACAGCAGAGTTTAATGAATTGCAAAACTGTGTACTTGAAGCAGCAGTAACAAACCTTAGAGAATACTCTCATCTTGATGCTTGAGAAGGTTTGCATACAAAACAGTACTCCTCAAATGAAAACATAAAGCTCTGGCTTCTCAAGTAAAAATTCTAATTCACAGACTGAATTTTGCATTGAAGCTGAGATGCACCCTGCACAGCTGGGAAAAGACAGGCACATTTCCTCTTCTATCTACTAATTCCACAGTCATCTCACAGTGCCATTAAGGACAGCTTTAGGGGTGCTCTATGTTATGCCAGACCCCCAGGTCGTTCAAGCAGTTTACCTGTGCCCATCAATCTCTAGCCAAATGCTTTTCAGTACCTCCCCAACCAAGTAATCTCCTGTTCTAGTTCTATGTCTCCCTAGGATAGTCTTCCATAGGGAATCCCTAACCATCTGGTTAGCTCAGCTTTCAACTAGCTTTGATCCAACAAAGTGGATGAAAGCAGGAAGAAAAAAAAAAAAAAAAAAGAAAAAGAAATAGATACGCCTCTCAGTACTTTGCATAAATTGAACCAGATTCTGAGCCTCGTTCTGTTAATGTAAATCCAGAAGAACTTCCCCAAGGACAAGAGATACAGGTCAGGGAACATTATTTTGCTGTTCTGTCCAATATTAAGCACAGATATTTTTTTAAGCAAACAGAGAAAATACCACCACTGTGCAAAACCCATTCAGCTCCTATAAATCAGTGCAACTTCACTGAAGTCAAATGAGTTATGAAAATTTACATCATCCCCAGATTTTATGCAGTATGCAATGAACAGTGTTCTGTTTGCTCCCTTGTGGCTCAGCTCAGTCTCTATATGAACACAATGGGATTTTTTTTCTCCAAAATGAGTAGCAACACATTTTCTCCTGAGTCACATATTCTTAGCTTCCACACACTGCACATTACCAAGACGACTAAAAAAGGTTTTAAAAAGTAATTAGATGTTTTTTCAATAAGACACATCAATTACATGATTTTCTTATACAACTTGAAAACTCACCTCATTTTATTGCCATTTATTGTTCCAGAATGACAAAGAAGCAATCTGTTGTAGAAAACATATTTTAGGATAACACAGTACTGAGTAATATGAAAACAGAAACTCCAAGACAGAACAGCACCTCTGAAGATGCCACCCAAAATGATGTGGTATGACTGATTTTAGCCAGGAATTATAAGGAGCAAGTTACTAAAAAAGTTAGGAAGACCAAATAGTCTAAAGTAACTAACTGTAATCTTAGAATGAAAGATGTTTTTACATTCATTTTATAGATTGAAATTTGCGAATATTTGTATTTTAGAAGATAAAGCAGACTAAGATCTCCTAAATTAAAAACAGGACACACTACATCATGGAGTCCTGAAGCTGGAAGCCTATTTTTCAAAGAAAGTAAAGGTCATATCTGTGTATAAAAAAAATAAAAATCAGACTATTATGTTTCCACAGGGAAATTTACATTGATATTTTCAAAGCAATGCGTAATTTACACATTTCAGGAAAAAGTATACAGTTTCACAAGACCAGACACTTCTGTGCATATTATTGCATTGTTTCATGGAAAAAAAAAACCAACAAACAAACAAACAACTTCTAAGCAAAGAAAGGCACCTATTCAATTTCAGATAATGTGTACATATTGTCTTGAAAAGTATTACTGAGTTGCAAAGCCAAGTATGCATAAGTTAGAAATCATCAAAATTAGATGCTTGTGCTTAATCAATCTAGCAAATCCTTGTGTATATAGTAAAACAATGGCTTGTTCCCTTGTTTTTCACATGATCTCTTCTTTTAGTGCACAAAAGAGCCATTCCTCTTTGTTAGGCTTGTTGCAACAATATTAAGAGTATCCTTTTAACACAGAAAATATTTAATTCTTAAAGACTTACTTCTGCTGCACTGAAGCCCTTAACCAAATGTCAGTGGGATCATGATTAGTCATAGTAAATCCTGCTTGAAAGTCTGCAGATCTTCGTGGCTTACTAACACTGCTTACAAAAGCAGAGTAGTCAGTGAGGAGGGAAAATTGTACCTTATTTCTAGTAAAGTCATCTGCAAGCCCATTAATACACACTACACGAGCCAGTGATAGCTAAAAAGCCTCAGTAGACCTGAAGACTGAGAGACAAGCTAAAAAAACATGAAGTTATCAGCTCCACTAGATAGGTAAAAATGATACATTAGATTTTCAACTAACTCTAACCAGCAATGATTTCATCAGAAAGTATAAAATATAAATGCAGTTTCTGTTAATGCCATAGCAGGAACCAGCACTGTCTAGAGGAAACAGACTTTGTGAAGTTAAGATTTATAATGGCAGTTCTAGGAATTCATCAAGAAGCAGGATACCATTCACAGAAATAAACTGAACAGTTTCGTGTATAGTCAAGAAGTACAAGAAAAATAATGTATTTTTCCCCTTTTCCCCCCTTTTTAATAACTTAAATCTGAGTCAGAACTTTACTTAATGCAGAGTTAAAGCCTTTCCTCTAATTTTGCTTTTGGTACAATTTAAATAAACAGATTATGAGAAATATTGCAGCAGGCAGCATCACACTCTTTAAATGCAGAGCATTAGGAATTCCAGTGTAGAAAATTTGGGCCAAACTACCTTCATTTGTATTGGTAAAATATACAATAACTCAATTCATTTCAAAAAACAACACTGGAATCACAGTGGTATCAACTAAAAAAGGAAAAAATGGGCTCAATGTGGTTAACAGTGTGATGCTGCCAGAAGCAAACAATAAAACTGGAACTTCACAGGAGAAGTTTTCTCAGAATACTTACCACATTCTGGTTGGAAACTATAGTGGGTGAGTCTGTTTTCTTCAGGAAACTAGGAACAGCTGGAAGCAAAGCAGGCAGTACCACACTTGACTAGAGAACTGGCCCAGACCTCTGAATTCATTGGGTTTCCTTCCAGCTGTATCATTAGCTCTCCAGGTGACCTTGAATAAATTGCTTCTTTTCTCTCAGTCTCAATCTTTTCATCTGCAAATGGGTACAACAATCCATTGTAAAGCCCCTTTTTAAATCCACAGACAGAAAGCCCTGTTAATAGTTATCCTTTCTCACCACTAATAACAAGTGTTCGTAAGGGAATGGAGTCTGCAAGGTCACCTAAGCAATATTTTCATGCACTTGATGTATAAGTTTCTTAATGTGTTTCTGACCTACAATCATGTGTGCTACTTTAAAAGTTACATAACCACAATTTATGGTAGTTAATGATAAAGGAACACTAATATGGTTCTGTAAAACCATACGCAACATATCTCAGTGTCCCCTGGTACATATGGGTCTCTGTATTTCATTGCAAAATAAGCAATAAAACCCCATTAAATAGCTAAAACAGAATGACAGTTATCAAATAAACCATCTACATAAATATCTAGAATATATACCACAACCACAAGAGCATTTCTTTTTACCTCTTCCAACATAAAATGGTCAAATACATATCATTTTAACTAACAAGCAATAAATTTTGCTAAAATTACCAGAACATATTCATGGATTTGAAAATCTACATTAAAATGGCAAATTGCAGGGAAAAAAAAAACAAAAACAAAACAGAAAGTATGAAGTACAGAACCTAACTATAAATATGGATGTTTAAATACAATATACAAATACTGGAGATGGAGAGCAGTGCACTTCTGTGTTTTTCATGCAGTCTCTAGGCAGGCTGGATTCAGAGAGGGGAATGTAAGTAAGTACTGGCTGTGTGGTGGCTGCACACCAGTTCTGCTCATGTACGTGTAACCTGTGGTTAGGAAATCAAGCTGGGGCTCCCTTGAATTTTCCATACTAGTAGAGTTGAGCATGTGAGCGTCATCCTATGTAATGCTCACCGCCATCTTCATCTTTTGAAAATCAAGCCTACGATACCATTTAAAATGCATTTATTCTTAATATTGATATTTCTCACCACTTTTAATTATTCTGAGAAAGAAATGGATGAAGAAGAAATATCCTCTAAAGTGCCCAAAGCTGTAAAATGATTCTGCATGATGTCTTACACTGCACTGACAATAAACGGAAACAAGAGATACTACCCCCAAAAACCCAACACACGAAGAAGACAGCCCAGCAGGCTGTAGCAACAGAAGTGTTTAAAGCTGTTACACATCTCATGAGATGCTTAAAATCTGAAAAGAAGAACATTTCCCCTTTCATCAGCATAGGCAGGTAAAAAAAAATCCACTCTTTAATGATCTGGCAGTTGGTGCAAAGTAATTATCAACCCGTGAGATTAGGAGATAGAGTAAAAAAAAAAACAGATTACTGTCCAATACCCAATTTTCAGTGCTTTGTTTCAAAAACTATAATGTAATGGTATTTTCAATTTCAAAACTAAAAATGCATCTCATTAGACCTAAAGTAAACAAGACTTTACCAATATACCCATTCTGAACTTTGGGGAAGTCTTGATTCTGCTTTCAGCCACTCTAGTTACTTCATTTGTTCTACATTTCTTCAGAACTAGAGTCTACATCATTAATTTCAGTTCTGTGTTTATGATTTTGAATCCCACATAGCATATCTTCATGAAAAGAGAGACCTAAAAAATCTTCAAGCTTGCTGCAATTGCTTATGACCCAGGAAATCGGCTTTGTAACTCACAATAAGAACCAAAAAGAATACTAGGTTTTGTAGAAATAGAGAGGACGTAAGGTCAGAAACAGCCCATTAGGATTTGGAAGAGATAATGGGATCATTTTCTTGGGTGAACTGATACTGTTGAGCATCTTCTATCAGCACTATGTATGCTGTGCTCTTTTTTGCTTGGAAGTCCAACTATAGAGGATGCTGATGATTTGTAAAGTCTAGGCAGAAAGTTACAGACTGTTTCTGGCACAGAAGCACTGAATGCGGAACACTCTCTGACCCACATTTCTTCATTTTTCTCTTTCCAGCACAAAGCCCATTTCCTCCCCAGAATTTTGTATGAAATGGATTTGGAGTGGAGGCTAAAGTCGTGATAGCTGATGGCAGTTAACTCATCTTACTGCACTTGTTAAAAATAGGGTTGAAGTATATCTGTTCTCACAACTAACAGTTGTCAATCTGACATAACACATTTTATGATTAGTCCTCACAAATTTGCGCAAAACTTCATTTTTAATGTGTACACAATCAAGAGTGACTTTAATGTCTTCTTGAAAAGGATGAAAAGTTTAATTATTTCTAAAAAACAATATGAAGTAATTTTATTAGCTTTTAAAAGTGCTTTCAAAAAGGGTGTTAACAGCTGATCTATTTTATTCCTCCCACATTCATCTGTTTGTCTTCATCATTACACTTGAAGGAAAAGCTGTTCCACTGTTTTAACTTGTGGGCTGGGGTTTTTTTAGACTGACTAGCGTTGTCACAGCCAGCTTCCCTGTAAATCACTCCATGAGGCTCCACACCTTGCATGAGTTTTACTTCTTCTGCTACTGCTATCTGTAAAGTCTGCATCAGAACAATGACTCTGCTTGTATCATTTAAACTGTTGTACCATATGTCAGTGATGTGGTTCCAAAATACATTTTAAGCTTTGCATTCTAGATAAATACTCTCACATGTGTTTATTCACAGCAGTAGCAGCTTCAAGATTTACTGTTATGTTGGGCACCTAGAAGTCCCAGTGATCCATACGTATTTCCCACTTACTTGATGCGAAATTTGCTGTCACATCTACCACCCATCCGCAGGTAAGCTGAGAAGTTTTAAAACATCCATTTCCACATGCTTCCTTCTGCTGTGTGGGATTGCCTCCATGAGGAAGTATTATTAGCCTTCTATTAGGCAAAAGAAAACAAAGGATTCAGGAGAGCAACTTTGCCTGGAAATGGAAGCAATTAAATTGTATGGCAAAGCCCACAGCAGCCATTCATTTATGAGAGTATCTTTTCAGTGATCCATTGCCTGAATCAAGTTAAAGTAAAAAAATCAGATTTCAGGATGTTTTACAAGTACACTAGTGTTGCTATGAAGAGCATCATACGTGAAGTGAAGGTTTTACTGTGTTACTTCATTTCATTCAATTCTGCTTTTGAAATAAGAAATGTTGCCTACATGGACTTTTATCACAAATATGGCAGTGATTTTACCACCTCTAAGCATTAAAGAAGCTGTTTTCTAAGTAGGATGGAAGGCACTGTCAGGAATTAATAATCTGGATTCTCTTCCCTGCTCTAACACAAAAACTGTGCTATAGTCAAGTCATATGATTCTCTCTGCCTTAGTTTTCAAGCTGTGAAAGAAACAGGAAGCTTCTGCACTTACTACATAGTACTACAGTAAATACTATCTACTATGTAAGTATCTACAACCAGCCACATTCATTCTAGAAAAAATTCCCAGGTGGATTTCTATTGCTCTTCCTGCAGGACATAGAAATTTTTTTATTAAGAAACAGCAGTTGCTGTCCCCCTTCAATGCTCCTTATAGTGGAAAGTACATTAGCTACTTGAGAGCTCCAGAAATAAAATCATGTTCTCCTCAATTTGTATTTCTTCTCTGCCCTTCTTAAAGGGGAAAATAAACCACCTTACAACTAAGTTAGTTGAAGCCATTGCAGCAGAAACAAAAATTCTCTTTTCAGCACTATACTTACAAACATATACAAGTTCCCTTTTCTTTTTCCTTTAGCCTGAGGGTTCCAATATGTAGAAACCTGCTGCCCAAAATGAAACTTACACATTTAATAAGAATTCAAGGCTGTCTGAAGAGAACTGGATCTTTTATTAACTACATAAGTCTGAAACTCAGTTAGACACTGTTCAGAGTTCTGTAAATGTAAGTCTATATTTCACCATGGACATGTTCAGTGACTTAATAGCAATATAAACAGGGTAATTCCCAAGGAACATGGCATCTTTTTCTCAGCACAGTCATATCCACCCCACTTACTAGGTATGTTACTATGCTTTATTGCTTACAACTTTCTAGTGGGTTTTGGGAGTGTGGGGTTTTTTTACAGGAAAAGAAACTCACAAAGAATAAGCAGCATGTGAATAGCAAAGTTATTGCTCATGTTTTCATACAACGTCCAAAATTACAATTACTATGTAGACAGCATTGGTACAACACATTGTTTTGGTTATGAATACAGCTCCATTTCTGTGCTACCTAAAAAAAACAAACTGAAAGAGCCTGCAGGGGGAAAGAAATTCCTTCCCTGCCTACATTGCAGTGCTAGAATAGCTCCGTAACAAGGTATCATGTGCATGCTGTAACTTACTGCAGCAGCCCCATCTTCATTGAAAAAAATACAAAAAAAATCACAAATATAAAAGAGAAACTTCCTAAGCCTCATGCTTCAGATAACTGCTGCCATTGCCAAAAGTTTTATAGCTACAAATGTTGAGCAATTCTAAAACTTAAAAACCCCTCACAAAGTTCACCTCAGAAACTCATGGAAAACCTCATTTTTTTAATCTAGACACACTGAATTGGCGATACTGCCCTACAGAAAAACTCTGAATTTGCAAAAGATGCAACACCCTGACCCACAGTCACAGAGGCTGTGAATGTGGAGGACTGAGCATGTGGAAGCAATGCATTGGAAAGATAAACATGCAACCACCGGCACAAGCACTCTATCAGGCTCTTGATACTTCCACAGCCTCCTTGAACTTCTTGATCCTCACTAGCCAGCCTCATAGATCCACTAGCAATTTTAAACTACAATGCCAATGCGAAGAGGCAGCACCTCCCAGTCCCAAGTACCCATTTCCATGCCTGTGCCTTTAATCTCTCCTCGAGTTGACACAAATACCTGTAGCAGTAAAATGCAGTCCGTGATAGATTATGGCTGATGAGCTGAGCCTGCTCCTCTTGAGCACCTGAACATCATACCCTTTCATTGAGGAGAAGGTGCGACTGCACAGCAGAACAGAAGCTAACGCAGATCTGTAGCCTTCGGTAGTAACACTGGTTTAATTTGCACAGAGTTAGAACTGGACACCAGAGTTTGCATGTAAAGGAACTGAGTGCAAGACTGCTTTATTTCTGCAGATTCTAAAAATAAAAAGCATTATGAACCCCATGCACAAATAAAAAGGGCACAAACATGGACCACACAACATGGAAAACTTCTGTGGGTCATGAGATGCACAATGTTGAAGGACAAAGACTGTAGAAACTGTAAGAACATATGCTTCTGAGTATGTGTAAATAACTGCAAAATGCAGACTGCCCTAAATAGTGATATGAAAAGATTTCAATTAAAGACAGAATGGATTTACTGCTTCCATATTTTTACATCAGTCATGGAAGCCAATGTATAAGGGCTGAAACTGTAAAACATTTTAATGCTTCTGAAAACAGATAAGAGGAAACCTTTGTTTCCCAGATAGTATTAAAATATATAAGCAGGCTATATTAATCATCTATGTTGTAAAGCAAGCTGATCATGTATTATTTGAGAGCTAATGACAGATTTAGCTGTATTGGTGAAACAATGTACAAAAGCAAAGAATTACATCAAAATTATGTGAAAAGGCAACCAATGTCATTTCAGATGGCATCAAATCCTTTCTTTAAAACTGTTCCAAATTTTTTCAAATATAAAAAGATAACCAAAAATAGAGACTGATTTTAGTCATTATAAGGCTCTGGAACCATAGCCAAAATTAACTGCAGTGACTAAGCACACTTCCCCTGCCAGCAATGCAAAAAAAAACCTAAATTGGGACATCCTTTATCCACAATGATTTGACAATAGTTATTATTAACACAGAACTCAAGTGATCGATGTCCTCTCTCTAAAACACAGAATTTTTCATATTAACAGGTGATAAGTATTTGACAAGGTAAGTAATCTCACTGGAGCCCAAGCATAAATGGATACCGAAGGGGAATATTTCAGTCTGAATGAGAAGTGCAAGGACGACATGAAGACAGCAGAAGTCCTCTCATAGGCTTTTACACTGTAGGCAGGGACTGATAAAGCAACAGAGAAAATGCCAATTATATCATAATCATCAACAAATACAATAAAACTTCTTCAGTGGCAGCAAACCAACAGGCTGTGTGATTTAAGGGGTCTTGGTTAAAGGACTGGGAATTTTGGAATGCATTGTGTTAACAGAATTACATGAACATACAGGAACTAGATGATCTTAAGATCCATTCCAACCAAACCATTCTATGATTCTATGATTCTGTGACTTACTCTTAAGACTTTGAAAAACACGTGTCATGTCTACAGAGCAGCCTGAATCAGATACCGATCCTGAAAAGTGTTTTCCTGAATTTAAATCCAACCTCTGCAACTTCTGATATAAACCAGGCCAAAATGCTCAGCTTTTATATAAGATTACAAAATTAAATTCAACATGCAGCTCCATCTCAGCATTGTTACTAATCTGTCTGGTGAAATTCAGCTTTTAAAATTAAAATATAAATAGCCTCAAACAATTTTTAAATCTCATGTTTTATCTTAAGCCAATCCTATGGGTGTTTGGGAGGCTGGTCTCGCTTCAGAATGCCTGAGACTGCCAGTACTATACTTGGACCTTGCCTTAGTGCTTTGATGATAAACATTACCAGCATAAGCACTATGCATTATCCAGCAATATTGCATCAGATGGAAAAACTGAGCTGGCAGTTAATTCTATGCTTAGTGCCAAAAAAGAGTTGTAGCTCCTGTCCTAGATATTGCAAATGTAAGACTGTAATTTCTCTTCAAGCAAATATCTATGAATGTTTCGAAATTTCTTTCTGACTGTATGATTTTGCATGTTTTTTTTTTTAATGGTCATTATTTCTTTCATTGTAGGAGCACCAAAATCTCTTCCTCCCTTTTGGAGCTGTTGTTTTTGCAAGATTATGTTTAAAAGTACTGTTGTAATTTCTATTAATTGTCTCTGCTCCCTTATGTTATCTGTTGATGAATCCGGTCAGCAGCACAGCTTCTTCCCATTCTACATACAAATGGGAAACATCTTCTATCCCTGGAGTTTGGGATTTGAAGGATCAAACGAAAGAAACTACTTTTTCAGATTACTCAGATTTTCATCAGCAGTATGAAATAAAGAGACTTTTTGATACAAATATCTTCAAAGACCTGACGACAGCCAAAATATTTTTTTTCTACACTGTACATTTGAAATGTTAATTCACAAAGTAATGATCTTTTAACTTCCTTTGTCATGGCTTTTTTTTCCCCTGCTTTGTCACTGTGATACGAGCTCTGCTTTATTTCTATAGACATTTGATATTAGTAGATTAAATATGATAAATATTAAGGACTGTAGAAAAAGATAGGCAGTAATATCAAATCTCCATACTTTGCACTTTTTAGGTTTACCATGAATTATTTTCACATAAATAAAGTGGTAGGTAAGGAAACCTAGAAGGGATCTGTATCAGAAAGCCAACTGTATGCTGTGCTGAAAAGAAGCATGGCCCACAGGCTGAGCATGGCAATTCCCCCTGTACTCCACTCTCCACCCCACCTGGAGTACTGCATCCAGCTCTGAGGGCCATAACATAAGAAGGATGTGGACCTGTTGGAGCAAGTCCAGAGGAGACCACAAAGATGCTCCAAGGGCTGGAGCACCTCTGCTATGGAGACAAGCTGAGAGAACTGGGCTTGTTCCTAGAGCCTTCTCTTCTCCAGGCTGGAGACCTTAGAGCAGCTTCCAGTGCCTAAAGGGGGCCTACAAGAAAGATGGGAACAGACTTCCTAGTAGGGCCTGTTACAACAGGATAAAAGGTAATGGTTTTAAACTAAAAGAGGAGAGATTTAGACTAGATACAAGGAATGTTTTTTATGATGAGCTGGTGAAACACTCGCACAGGTTGCCCAGGGAGGTGGCAGATGCCCCATCCTTGGAAACATACAGGGTTGGGTTGGATGGGGCTCTGAGCAACCTGATCTGGTTGAATATGTTCCTGCTCGTGGCAGGGAGACTGGAGGAGATGACCTTTAAAGGTCCCTTCCAACCCAAACTATTCTATGATTCTACAACTGCAAACAAGAAATCAAAGGGAATAACAGAAGTCTGATTTTATTTTATTTTTTAAACAAAATTGTATCATTTCATTATTTATGTTTGCTGTAGTAATTTTCCAATTCTGAGATTTTTGCTCCTTTTTAAGGATATTTTTAAAAGCTGGAAAGAGCCAAATGCAAAATAACCATATACAAAATGTCTATGTGTATATAAAACCGAAATTTCCTTTGGAAACCTGCAGAACATAATAATCCACTCAAGTGTATGTTTTGGTTCAGTTAAAAACACTTTCCTCATATAAATACGCAATATTGCAAGCAGCAGTAGTCATCATAAGTGAGTAAGCTCAAGGCTAAATACTATCTAAATCTCTTTATACAGTGGGTTTTTTAAAGAAAATATCAGTCCACAGATAAGATTTAAAATCAGATGTGCCTTTGCTGTCCAGAGGAGCTACACTATATCCTCAGAGATAACTAAAAAAAAGACTTAGGGTCAAATTTGTGACTATTTAGTTGTAAGCAGTCTTACTGCAGACATTTGCTAGAAGCCACAATACACAGATTAGATTAGATTTTTTATTATAACACACAGGTCTCTGAATCTTGCAGGTGATATCCTCTGCTTACCAGCTGCAGCAGAGTTTCCAGTGGTTTCAGGAAAGCAGCAGAATTAAACAAGGCTGAAAATGCTGATTTTCATTAGCTGGGCTGAAATTTCCCCTTCTTGATTTCAGTTTATAGCTGTTATTTTTAAGCATGGAGAGATATGAATTCAACCACCTTTTCATTATGGAAAGTGAAAAATGATGCTTACAGTATTACCACGTACTTGTAAGGCTACACCCTGCTCATGCAGCTTGACATTTTGGAACTTGCACATCTTTACGGAAATAGCCTCCCCAGGCTTGGTGAAATCCAATCCAATACTTAAAAAATATAGGCACTTAAATACCATCAACACCCATGTTTTGAATACCAAAACTCAGGCAGGTTCAGAAGCATTTTAATGCCTATTCCTAGCTAATTACAATTCAGACATTATATATCAAGATGCTACCAGTCTGCCTACATCTCTGCAGAAGCCACATACAGCAGGAGTCCCCTTCATACTGAAACTCAGATAGGAAGGGAAAGATGTTGGTTGCACCCCCAGATCCCTGGATTATTTGTGCTTCCTGACCAGTGAATTCCCTGCCCACAGGGCTCCCAAATAAATAAATTGCAGAATCAAGTGTTTTGAGTCATACTTTCCTTCTGGACTTATGTTACACTGTGGGCCAGCTTCAGCAGACTGAGTACAACCCTCTGGCTGCCTACAGCCTGTGGTGGCAACATCCTGCATCTGCATCTAAATTTTGCTGATTTGGGAGCTGTGAAGCAGCCCATTACTGTAGTTAGTCTACATAATAGAAAACCATAAATATAACTTTCAGACCAGACCTATTTTGCCTGGTTCAATGATTACAACAATCTGGGCATTTAAAGCTTTTACCAGTGAGGGGATATATTTTTCTGTTTAGCTTTGGAAGTCTACAGACTGAAAGGTCTAATGTTGCTCCTCACACTCAGCTGAGCTAAGCCTATGTCTGAAAGGAGAGACGTCCCTGAATTTCACTAGTTTGGGGTGAGAACAGTGCGGTTTGGAAAATCCCCTTTTCAGGGGAAAAAAGACTTTACACTATTGTCTGAACCTTTACTTCTATCTACAAGCCAGACACCAGCTCACCATGCTGCCCACTGTGAATGGGACTGCAGTGTTTGTGCCATGCCAGTCAAATCTGGCACACTTTAGAGAAGCACTATCATCAATGATCAATAATCAAGATGTGCAAGAATACAGCTCATAGCATTTTAAAGCATTTATGCCCTTATTACACTTTTTACTATAATCTTTACTTAATCAAAACATTGTTTCTCAAATAATCCAATAAAATATCATGCACTTTTCTTAGGGACTAATTTAGAGCTGTGCACGATAAAGTGATTTATACTTTAATTCCCATGCACTCATCTAAATCGAATTTAATCTGACATCTTATTACCAAGTCCTATTACATTCTCCTGGAGCTTTCAGTAATCTTTTCTAATATTGCCTAATTAAAATAAATTTATGATATAACCATGTACTGACATCCTGCTTGTCACCATTACTCAAGGCAGATTCATAGTAATGCATCATTTGGTGTACAAAACCCCAAAGAACCCCAATGTTTGACTTCTTTCTAACCCCTCCCAGGCAGAGATCTTGCTCTTTATGTTTCCTACCTCTTTGTGCATTTTGCAAAAAACTTAAATAAGTCAAAGGTGAAACTTAAATAAGGCAAAGGTAAAACTTTCCCCTTGCCTTATTTGCTCGTCTTTTTACTAATTTTGTATGAGTTACTTTAGCACAAACCTATATTACCGCTCTCAGTTCTCTTATTCTATGTTTCATTAAATCTTCCAAGAATTTGTAGCAGTTGAAAAGACATCATTTAACTTTATAGAAGCTATGCAGGTTTGTCCTTTGAATTACTTTATATGATATCACTCATAAATACATATATCATAGAATTTTGTTACATTTTATGATCTTCTCAACTGCTTTTCTGGCTCTGAACAACAATTCTTCATATTCTTCTAAGACAAACTGTTATCTTTTAAAAGGATGAGTACAAACCTGAGTACCTGTCTATCTCTGGTACAGACACAGCTGGTAAGAGGAACTTACGGTCTTGCTGTAACAGTTACTCTGAAAAGTTCTGCAAGATTTCCACCAAAACTTCCACTAGATATTTACCATGATGCACATTTGAAGCCTCATGTCTTCACTTTTTATCTCATTTCTCTTTTCTCAGCTTTTTTTTTTTTTTAAATGAAACTGCAAATAAACATGGCAAGAGAAAACAGGGTGCCTGCAGCACGGATAAGATTCTTCTGTAACACAGAACAGATGCCTGCACATGCTGGTCAGCTCTGAAAAACACATTTACTTGGCTTTAAACACTACAAAAGCCCATTAGAGGAATGATTCCTCAGAACACAAATATGACAGATGCTGTACTCATTATTCTGAGTAAGTAGAAAGTATAAAAGGGTTCCCTTCTACAAATACAGTACTACAATAAAGGAAAAAGGATAGCCTACAATAGAGGAAAAAGGATGCAATAAAGGACTCAGCCCAAGCATAGCTAGCTTTTAGGAGTGACCTATGTCCTACATGAAAAATAGAGGGAAAATTAAACCTGTCTATACAGCATGCAGGGCAGCAATATGCGAAGAAAAGAGATGCCCAAAGTCAACACTAGAAGCAGTTGTCTAGCAAAAAACATTAGGATATGTAAGGATAGGTGCAATCTCTGTCTAAATAAACAGGCTGCAAAACACTACAACTGCAACCATATTTACAATAGGAACAAGATATTACATGGTATTAACAAATAAACAGGTATAGTGGTTAGAGATACTGAGGTACTTCTCATACTGTCAAAGAACTGACATCATCTCAGTGTTGCTTGTTCTCTTTCAAAAAGAATATTTATATATTTATATTATATAACATCTAAATATATACATAAGTATATATCATATATTACATATATATTACATTAAAAGTATATATAATATATATTTTTATATATATATAAACAAGAGGGGGGGCTACGTACATCCTTCCAAATAAAAGCTGGAAACGCTGCTCATTCCACTTCCAATTTTACAGCTCTAACCCAATGTAGAACACACCCAACCTCAAGTCCTGCCTCAAGGTAAAGTAACTCAAAGCTACAGTTGATATCTCTCATGAGAAAATTACTACGCTCAATTAGAGTATCAGCTGCTCCTATATGTCATGCAAAATAGCTACCTGAGAAGCAACAAGTAACTGGACAAAATATATAATCACTAGTAATAAGGTCTAGATTCAGAGGCTCTCCACTCACAGCTGACTTTCTGAATATTTACAGAGTAAGAATAACTCTGAAGTATTTTTCATAGATTGACCAAAAGAACTGCAACTTCAGGTGTCCTAAAGTTGAAGCCTCAGAAATTTTTAAGATCACGATTTTAGACAGGAGAGCCTACACTATAGCTAAATTTACTCAGCTTAGAATCTTTTTTGGCTCTGACATTACATTCCTGAATAACTGAAATGCATTATCTGTCATTTTATAACACAATCAAAATAAATGTCATTTTTAGACTTCATATCATTTGAAGACGAGAGTTCCTCAGAGCTCGTGGAAGTTGTGACACTTGGCACTGAAAGCCAGCTGGTAAATTGGGGCTCAAACTGCACTTTTTGCCTTCCCTGCTCCCCTCTCTTGAAAACACTCAAGGTCAGTTGCAATGCTTGGTTCTTTTGTAAAGACAACAGGTATCTGTAGAGAAATGTTCCCCGAAGAGCTCTTAAAAATTCATAATAAAGAAAATAACAGTGAACATAATTTGAATATAAATTCAAAGATGTTCAGTTCTGTAAGTTAATCAGACTTAAACATCCATGGGAAACTTACAACAGTTTAAACTCTCAGTTTAAACTCTTTCCAACAATTTATAGCTTCATTTTGCAAACTTTTCCCCAAACTAAACTCCCCTGAATTTACACCACCTAGAAGGCTATTCATACAACAGCTGAACAAACCTTGTGAAGAAGAGGTTTAATATGCTGATGAGAAACAGTACAGAAAAACACAGCAGCAGTTCCTGAAGAAATAAAAGATAATATATTATTATGGAAAGTATGTTCAGATAGATTAAGTGACACTGAAGTCCCAGTGCCTACTCACTTCTGAAAAGCAGAACTCAGGTAAAGCTCTGAGTAGGTAGCCGCCTTGAGTGAACCAGTGGGAGACACAGGTGGGATCAGACCATTTCAGTACAGAATCTTTCAGAAATAAACCATGCAGCAGATATTTACCATGTTATTTTCTTGCACTCACCCTCAAATGCCACCTACACGTTGTAATCTACATCATGCCAATACTTCTTCATGTGTTTATACTTACAAAAATACTTAACTTTATAATAAAGAGACTGAAAACTAAAACTAAGAGATGTAGCCAGGTTACAGCGTATGTGATCTTCTAACCAGGTTTAGGCCTAGGCCCCTTTCTCCCACTTACCTGTCAGAAAATTGGGAATGTGTAAATCAGGGCCACTGACTGAGAGAGTACAACAGGCAAACTCCATACCCTGGAAAAAAATGCCAAGCATAAAAGCTTCCTGAGGAAAGGCTCTGGGTGACCATGGCTAGGAGCTGTAACTTACATCCATCATTGCCAAAGCAGAAAAATCTTGCCTCTAACTTTAGATTTGATTCTCTATAAAGTGGACTTCACCACATGTACAACCACAAAAGTAAGCATTGCAACAAGTAGGTGGGTTCAGCAATTAAGGACCTCTTGTTAGCAAATAACATGAAATAGTATATATATATTATCACAACATATTTTTGTTACTCAATATTTTTCAATGTATAGTCAAAAATACTTACGCATCCCTTAGCTTACACAAATAATATTGCTATTTTACACAAATGTTCAAGTTGAATGGTACTTTTAAACTGTAATTTTGGGTGCCAGAAGGTCTATCCATTTCATTTCTAGAAAAAAAAGGTACTCCTTTCTATTCATAAGAAAGATAATTTATCAATGCATCACTATTTTCTGCATTTCAGATGAGCACTGGCATATCAATTTTCATTTTACATCTGCACATCTCTCTGACCAGAAATGTCAATCAGCATTAGGTTTCTCTGACCTAAAGCCCATAATTCGCATCAAGGTGAGAAAAATATTAGGGAGAGGGACAGACAAAATTACACAAAAGCTACTTAACAGATGAACAAAAGTTACTAGTTTCTTGCATTTTGTGTAGATCTGCTAAACTGACTCG